TTATATAAAACCCTGATAATTTTATACTCTTCCAATGTATCTGCGGAAACAAACTCTTGCAACAAACAGTATTTGTTGTAATCCTTATACAGACGCTCCTCACTTACCGACCGGGTTCCGTTCTTACGATTCTGTCATTAAACGAATTGGTCAGTAAGTGAGAATGAGATACAGAGCATGTGCAGGTCTATGTTCAGGGAAATTTCCCACATGGACAAGTACACCAAAGCAGGGAATCCCTCAAATTTTTGTTCGGGGATATTTCCCTGACAATAGACAAATGCATCAGAGCAGGGAATCCCTCTAAACCATGAGGGGGGGGGGGAGGGGGAGGCTGGAAACAACATTTTGAAACAATTTCCTATTTGTGACAAATTGAAAAAAAAAATCAGTTTGGACTGGCAGTCAGATTTATCATTGGATCAACAACAAAATTTACCATGTAATTTATGCCATAGTATACTCAAATTCAGTAATATATATTGTGTAGTCCTTCTAATTCCAACTGTGATACTTCTTTTGACTTGACTATGTTCAAATGTTTTGTAACTAGCTGTTTTTGTGCTAGTGCAGATGATGGTTTCTTATTCAACCACAATTCCCACATACATTTCATGTAGCCCCTCACATTGTGTCTCCTGTTGTGTAGTGTATATATAGGGATATTCTCACTACTCTGCATAGTATTTGCATGTTCCTTATTCTTGTATCCTCAACAGAACTGTTGGAATTCAAACGCTGTCTGGCCTAAGGTGTTTTTTTTTTTTTGTTTTTTTTTTTACATAGGCTTCATTTAAAAGATCTATTTCCCTTTAAAACTTGGTAAATTAATTATTATATTAAAAATTAGTATTGAGGTGACAGTTGTCCATTATTTTCCACATTGATTTAGAAAATAACAAATAGAGGATAGCAGGATCCCAGAATCTCAGTAAAAAGATATACTATGCAGAGGCAGGGTTATCAGATGCCTGACAGATGCTTGCACTATGCACATATAATAACACAGTACTGATAACCTGTAAATGACATGGAGGGCTGCTTAGCAAGTGAGCGAAGAACTGACCATATATACACTCTCTGTCTCTGCTTCTTCCCTTATTTGTGAAGGGAGTACGAGAGTAGCAGCATGAGATAGATCGGAATTGGCATAAAAGAAATGATCATCCTGACCATAGGGAATGGTAAAGGGGCACCTTATACAGAGGGAGAGAAGAAGAAGGTGAACTTGCATGAAGGGAAAATAAGGGGATAAAGAGGTTCTGGTAAATTAATAATTTGGGGAACTAGAGTTTGACAAAGGGTACTAGCAAAGACTTCCCTAGAGCCCCACTGGCATTTAGAAACATAGAAACATATAATATGATGGCAGATAAGAACCATTCAGCCCATCTAGTCTACCCAGTTTTCTAAATTCATTCATCAGTCCCTGGCCTTACCTTATATCTAGGATAGCCTTATGCCTATCCTACGATGCTTAAACTCCCTCGCTGTGTTAACCTCTACCACTTCAGCTGGAAAGGCTATTCCATGCAACTACTACCCTTTCATTAAAGTAATACTTCCTGTTATTGTTTTTATTTAATGACCTTCAGGTCCTTACATAATTTAGATATGTTACCATCCTTTATGTATTTATTTCACAAAGCATTGTTAATAGTGAATAATATTACATTACAGTGCTTATTTTGAAATGGGTTAAAATGAAAAATAAAGTTTCGATCAAAAAAATCATGATAATTTTAAATATATACTAGCAAACCTCATACATAATTACATTCCAGAAATTAAGCAACACTGGCAGCAATATTGAACGGACAATTGGCAGCCAGAAACACCTGTGTTCAGGGTGTAACTAATCCATGGCACACAAGTGCAAATGTCTCTGACTGTGCAGTGTTACAAGCAGAAGCACTGCACATGCAAACGCCAACCACCATGAAAACTTCAAATCACAGAAGTGGTCATGGTGGCTGCGGCAAAAATTTATTTTTGAATAAATTCTCAGTTGGCAAGCAAAGTCCATGAAATAATAAACTTAAAAAGTAATATCTCTATTCCAAAGGTATTTAAAAAATAAGTAAATTTTCACAATGAAATGGTAAAATCATGCATCCAAACTATTATTATATAAAATAACTACCAGATATCTTTTATTATTTGATTGTATTATGTGTTTTGCTTAGTTTTGATTTTACTTGTATCAAATGCTAGCTTAAACATAGAACACAACACCATTAATGAAAAATGTCAAATTAGACTGACATAGTTGGTGCTTAAGGGTTTGGTACTTGGCCAACTTCTCTCAAATCTATTTTATTAACAATCTTAATAGATTTATTGAAAGACATATCTAAGTGTTTTAAGTTATGCAATACTATGTACTGTAATATGGTCTGGGTTCAATGAATCAATAATAAAGACTCTTACAAAACATGTTAATCAGCTTTACCACCAGGAACAGATAAATAGAAAAAATGGTAGCAATTACAGATATTTTTTACATTAATGTTATTACATGACACTGCATTTCAATCTATGCAAAAATATAAGGTAAATTAATAAATTAAAGTCTGAGCCGTAATCATCTTTTTTATTTTGAACCAGAAGTGTCAAGGGACACAGTAATAAAAAATAATTTAGGTTGATGAAGTTTTAGATTGGGCAAAAGAAATCCAACAAAAAATGGCATTAGTTTTATAGTAGGCTCAAAATGTACTCGTGTAACAACTAGTCTTGAAGAATAAATGCAAGTCGAAACATGCTAGGCAGAACTATTTTTTCTAAAAATTATTAAAAGCAGGACTGTATACTTACCCTGCTCATTATTATAACGGACACAAATATTTTATCAATTTTATATCAAAAATTTACTTCTAAACAGGGTAAATATGTTTGAAGATGAAAAATATATTGACTCTACAGGTTGATAACATGTTACATTTAAATTACATTTAAGTTTTCTTGCAACAAATCAGGAATGTGTTTAAGTTATTATTATTATTTTTTTTGCATGTAACAAAGTTACAGTCAGTTTAGGCTAGCATTAATTACCATTTCATTAGATCACATTGTTCATTGTACAGGTGGTCATTATGGCAGTGGGTCACACTTTTCAAGCCTTTGCAGAAATGAAAAATACTCCAGAGAGCTTGTTATGACAGTGGGCAATTTGTAATATTATCGTATATGCACAGATAGTGCACAGATAGTATCTGCTGACTGTATCAATTTAATAACAACAATTGATTAGACTTATCAACGTACTTTTTAAAAAGATCAAGAAAATCGGTCACATTATCTGACTTGAAGACAAAAGAAATATATTGCTAAATTGAAGCATTTTATAGTGACAAATCTTAGTGGATACTGCAGACAAAATAATGGATTGTAGGCTTGAATGTGTTAAATACTTGGGTATGAAACTAATGCAATATTTGAAACAAAAAAAGGACAGAGGAATCTTCATCCCAGTATTCGCTATACCTTCATACTCCTACATAGATTTGCTATAATTATACCTAAGTGTTCCATTGGTTTATCGAGGTGGTGGTTATAGACACATTATAATTCCCTCTTTACTTGCTTATATGTTTCCTAAATCTAATTAAATGTGCCAAGCAATGCCAATGGCATGATCATTAGACACTATGCGTTCTTTATTTGGTGGAGTGGTAAGTAAATGAAGGCATTAATGTAAACTGGAAATTAACTGTCAAATTATTTAACAAAAAAAATCCTAAAACTATTTTTCAATGTATTATAATATGTAATCTCGCACGAATGAGTCAAACACATACGAGATTATTCACTAAAATGTGAGTTCTTTGTAACTTAAATTGAATTTCCGATTTTATGCCAAAATGGCAAAACTTCACCAAAATTTCATTTCACGTCTGCTGTGTTTTCAATTTAACCATTTTGGCCTATAAAATGAAAATTTACTTTAATTGACAAAAAAAAAATCACATTTACTAAATAATGCTGAACAATTTTGCTGACCCAATTAAACATAATAATGCTTATAAAAATAGAAAAAGAAAATAAAGAGTAGGTAATTAACAATGGGTAACCTGAGGCAGCAAACTGTAAAGGAAAGGGGATTCCCTTTACACCCTAATTAAAAAACAAAAACATAAAAAAAAAAAAAGGTTACGCCACATAGACAAACATTATTTATTCTGATGGGACTTGTAGTTAAATCCATCTCAAGTCCCATTAAAAGCAAATATATTTGATTCAGAAAATTGTGGACTAGATCCGATTGGACATTCTGCATAATTTTTTATAATAATGTATTTGTCAAATTACCTCTAACAGGTCACATTGAGTTTGCTTCAGTTTGTAAGAGTAAAAATGACAATAACAATGCTGGGGGCTTGGCTCTTGAAAACACAAGCATACTGCCTTATCAGGTTCTACTACTAAGTAGGGTGATTGACTTTATTGTGGTACGGTTGTTAGGTCAGTGCTAAGGATTGTCAGATGTATAGATGAATGCTATTGGACATTCATCTATAAGTTGTAATAAAATCCCACAATCCTTTTCTATGGGGCATTAGCTACTATGGAATGAGGCAACATTACAAGTAAAACAATGAATATTTTCAGTGACATGGTTAATAATTTGCAATAACTGTGAGAAATGTGGTTAGATTGTAAATGGTGTAATTTAGGGTGAGGAAGCATTATCATATCTATATCTGGGAGGGAAGAAGAAAAAAAAACAATAAAAGTCTTCTGTCTACTTCAGTAGAATATTAACAGGGGTTATTAGTTGTCATGACAAAAATATTGCTTATACGTAATCTGCTAAAAAAAAAGGGGGGTTCTGCTAGCAGTGGCTATATAAATTGCTAGGTCACTGTGTAACTGGAGACAATATCGCCCTGTCCAGTTATTCTCCGGAGGATTACATAGTAACAAGATTGCGACACAACCTACAAATCAGATTTGTTACAAAGACTGATATTTTTTGTGTGAATATTTCCTCTTAAAAAATGTGTTCTGGGAAATGTGCAAAATGCTTGGGCATTGCCCTAATTCCACTAGCCATTCTGTGTATACTGGCCAATATCTTACTCTTTTTCCCTGGTGGCAAAGTTGCATCAGAAAATGGACATATCTCCGATGAAGTTTGGTTCTTTGGAGGGATTTTGGGTTCTGGGGCTGTGGTAAGTGCATCATTGTTTTATTATTACAAGTGTTACCTTTTGATTTTAACTTGTGAAATAATAATGTTATATAACCAACATTCTTATTGATTAAGAAAGAGATAGATAGGCACCAAGAGTGTAATACATGTCATAAATGAATTGCTGCAAAGGTGATATGGCAGTGATAGGACTGATAGAGTTCTCATAAATAATAGCTGAGATATGGAGAACATAAGGAATATAAGATACATATTACAAAGTATTATTGTAAAAATAAAACTCTAAAATTGTTGTATAACAAAGCGTTTTGCTTGTCACAATGTCTCCTTCAATGCCTTTTAAACTAATTTAAAAAATCATTGTATTATCAGAACATATTTTGAATTCAATCCTCAAAGTATCGGGATCACGCCTTTAATCCTTATGAGGTCAAATAAGTATCAAGTTATAATGTGTTGTATATCAGTGATAATATCCAGCAATAATCTAAATACGCCTACCCTGGTTAAATATGATATTATAATGCTTATGCTTATTCTTATTGTTGTTGCTATAATTATTGTTACTTTTATATTTCTTAAAATAGTGCTGTCAAAATACCATGTCATAGTAACTCTGTAATAGTTCTGAATTCATAAAAATTAATAATGCAATAACGAACAGGGGTCCTAAATAATAGGATATTGTCACTCCTCTGGCCCTCCCAATAACAATTGCTCCCCCTTTTTTTTTTATATTGACTGTAATTTATAACACCATTCCCATAGAGACCTCATGATTTGTGTGCTAAATCTTGTTTGAACTACAATTCGTCCAAATTTTAGTGATCGATCAAATTTCTGAACTCCAAGCCGAAATGTAGTCCAATCACGAACCAACCAAAATGTTCAATGGCCGAGCATGTTTATTTTGAATCATGATTTTCAAATTCCACACGTGGTGCCGAAAATAGAGATTATTAACCGGAAAAAAAAAACTGGTTGGCTAGTGGACAGATACTAAATGTTGATATTATTCACAGATCAAGCAAAAGTGACCAATACACAGAAAAAATTAGGAGCAGTAATACATCTATAATTGTATTAATTGTATACATTTAACAGATATGTAATAATAATAAGTATTAAATTTACTCCTCCTCCTGTTTTTCCGTATTGGTTACTTTTTCTCACTTGACATTATTACAAAAATATTTATAATATGTATATGTTTCGCAATACACTGACTGGCCAAACTGATTTTTTTTTTTAAATCAGAAAAATGGTTTGACTGAACCTAATTTCTCACAGAGTACAAGTCTAGTTGTTATATTTGACTTTTAGTTTAATCTATAGCAGTAACTGGAAGGCATGTGCAATTTTTGTTTTAAGCCACTCATCCAAATAAAATTCCTAGTAATCGTCAAATAAATTAATTCTGAAATTCAATTCTATCCAAAGGATTTTAGCTTGGGTGAATCTGTTTGTTTGTGGACTATCTGAATTTTGGAATTTATTAGTTCAACAATTAGTTGGAATTTTATTCAGATGTATAAAGGGTCAACCCTGGAAAAATTCATTTAAAAAGTAATCAGTGGAAACTGATCCAGAGGAGTAAGTATGACTGGATCCCCTATTTTACTAATTATATGACTGTTAAATATATAGTAGAGATAGCTAAATAAAAAGATCACTGATGCCCTAAAATTCTAAGATGATTTTTTGTTCTAACAGGATGCTAATAAATGTGATGATTTAGTAAAGCAATAGCATAAAACGTTTGTCTTGTTTTAGACAAGTTCATTGAGTATACCTATAAGTATACTAACTTGAATTTTTATATATATCCTATTTTCTTTTTCAATGTTTTTTAATGATTTTCTTGTTCAAGGTTTTTTAATGATTGCAATGACTTTTTATCTATTGTTTTAATGAACTCCATTGTCTTCAAAAATAGAAAGCATTTGGAAGCCTTTGTCTTCCGGAACATGATTTAATATTTTAAATAAATGAATAGAAAGACCAATATTTAGTTTTCAGTGATATCGTATTTTCTGAAAATCTTATTTTGGTGTGAATTCATTGTTTTCTAGATGATCTTCCCAGCACTAGTATTTCTTGGTATGAAAAATAATGACTGTTGTGGATGTTGTGGCAACGAGAGTTGTGGGAAGAGGTTTGCGGTAAGTTACAGTTAATTTCCTGATACGCAAGTCCAGAGTCTTTGAAATTAAAGTCTGCTTAAATCTAATTAATGACAAAACATGCAAGATTCCTTTTCCATTTTAATTCTGGTTTCTCCCCAAAAAGTTTTTTTTTCATTGTTCTCCATTCTAAACCTATTAAGATTGACATATCTGTAATCAAGACACACCATTCTAAAGCAGTGATTAACCAGAAGATTCACTACACTTTCTCATTTAGCGTTGAAGAGTTCTTATGTGAAATACCAGTGTTTCTGATTCAGTGTGTTCATGTTTAGTGTAGTGTAAGTGTATTGTCTATTTTATAGTGTTCAATGTGCTCAAGAATTAGGTCCAAACTTCCTTTCTTGGTCTGGATGGGTATTTTAACACAACATAATTAAACTTTTCTTGTATTTTCAGAATTTTTCTTCTATTATATTTGCTGCGGTTGGATTTGTAGGGGCTGGTTACAGCTTTATCATTTCAGCAGTTGCAATAAATAAAGGACCAAAGTGTGGGGTAAATGTGACTGATACCAGCATACCTCTGGGCTGGAATATAACATACCAGTATCCTTTTGAAAATGGGTAAGTCATGCAGTAAATAACGTAACCCAGACACAGTTTTTAATTAAATACATCTTCAATATTATATCATAAAGCAATACTAACGTTTGTAATATCCATGGGCAACTTTACACATTTAATTCATGACGCAATATCACTAATTCTGTGTCTTCTAACCATTTATCTTTTATACTCTTGATTTCCACATTCCACATTTCTCCATCATTGCTTTTTCTATATAATACTTCTTGTGTTCTCCTCCTTTATTTGATCACACTTGATGTTTGTCTTAGATTAACAGCTATGTTTTAAGTTCCTACTACAAGTTTTTTCAAGTAGCCATCACCAATCACCAATTCTGCTGCTACTCAATGTTATAAACAAGATGTAGAGTAGAACAATTTGTTTAATGCCTAAATTATCAAAAATTCCAGTTTTGTTTCCTTCTCAAACACAAAACAAATAATTTCACAATCAGTTCTTCAACTCATAGTACATTGTCTCAATGTAATATAAATGTAATATAATATAAAGTTTGAAATCTTTTTGATTTCTCATAGTCAGTTCCTTTATGATGTTCAAAACATCACACGCTTTCACCTGCATAATGCTTTTCATTTCTACCCTTTCCTAAACACAGAAAAAACTTAAATTCATACATTATTTCCTATCTTTACTAATGCCACCTCATCTCGCAAAAGACCATCATATCTAGGCACCTTTGTACTCACAGTTTTATCAGCCAAATCAATATCTGCATTAGGTGGTACAAATTTCTTGTACAGCCCTTTTGTGATGCATTGATGAAAGATCCTGTAACATAATCTGATTGCTTTCTGTATTTTTAATATATTGCAATATTTCTGTGCAAGACCTATGTGCTATAGTTGGGCACAGACGCATGCCCCTATGTATAGACCAAGCAGAAGGCATCTCCTCCTAACTCTGTTAGAAAATGAAAGATGCCTTTATTAATAAAATATTTTTAAAAATTAAGGTTGGAATGGAATAATAAATATTTTCTCATCCCACTCTAAACCAATTTCTACAGACTCTTCCTTATGATGTAGTACTTTCTATTATTTTATTAGCAAAAATATCTTATTAGATTACATGTAAAAAATTATTTGTACTGACTTTTTCTTTTTCTCCAAGAAACTATCTAGGGAACCACGCACTATGGGATGAATGTACGGAACCCAAAGATATAATTCCATGGAACCTGACTCTCTTCTCCTTGCTCATCATAATGGGTGGGGTTCAAGCAGTTCTCTGTGCTATTCAGGCCATTAATGGACTCATGGGGACAATCTTTGGAGACTGCAAGTGCTGTGGATGTTGCGGAGGGGTAAGTTCCTAATTCAGCCTGTGATGGATGTGATGGATGTGCACCTTAGTTTATTTTATTTTTTTCTTATTTTTCTGTAAATGTCATGAAAAGAATATGTAAACAAAACTGTACAGCTAGCAACAAAAACAGCTATGTTATCTTCAATATTCTAGTACAAAATGATCATTAATTGATGTAGAATATTAATTTAGAATAAAATTTGATTCAGCATCACCAGCACAAGTAAATTTTAAGTACTACTGTTTTGGCTCTGGTAACTTTGCCTGTTAGGTCTAGTTATTTATAATCCATGTTAATTCCTTTCCCATTGCTGCTGATGTTTCAGCCATTGCGTGAAATCACTACAGAGACACATTGTATGCGGTTTAATGCAAGGATACTGCTTATAATCCTGCTCCTCTTCTGCCATATATCAGAGGAGTGAAATGTACTTCCTCTTCTGACTTTACATCATTTTTTTAAGGTGTACGCATCACGATCACCCACTTAGCAGCTCTGACAGAGAGCCTGAGCCATGCCGGCAGAAGTTAAAGTTAACACTGGGAAAAGTTGTATACACAAAATGTGAATGGGACTATCAACATGCCGACTGCTTGCTCAGTTATTAAAGGAATACTATAGTGTTTGGAACACAAAACTGTATTCCTAACACTAAAGTGTCCCTTTGCCTCTGTGCCCCCATTCATGAACGTGGTGAATTAGCCTTTAAAAAGTTACCTTAATCCAGCCCCAATGTCCCTTTGTGCTAGTTCGGGCTCCTTCTCGATGTCAGTCAGTGGGGGGGAAACTAATGCGCATGTGCAGCGAGCGCCGTGTGCGCATTAGCCCTTCCCCATAGGAAAGCATTGACTACATGCTTCCTATGGGGATTTAGAAGATGCTAGACCTCCTCATGCAAAGCATGAGGACGTCCAGCGTTGTTTCACAGAGTTCAACTACATGAAGAAGAAGGAAGCTCCTCTAGTGGCTGTCTGGTAGACACCCACCAGAAGCAGTCTTACTTCCCCCCCCCCCCCCAAAAAAAAACTACAATATTTTACATTGCAGGGCTAAGGGGACAGGGACACTGCACCTTGACCACTTCAATGAGGTGAAGTGGTCTGTGTTCTTAAAGTGTCCCTTTTAATTAATGCTATGTGGTGAATGGAACTAATTCAAGTACTTTAAAAGTATTTTTCCTTTTCATGAATTTCATGAAAATTCCCAAGCCCCTAGCCACAAACCATACTGAGGTCTCAGGGAAAGCCTTTTTAGAGGTTGTCCCATGCTATGTCAGCTTTTACATTGTGTGAGGACATTTTTCATGCTATATAATATCAGTAAGAGTGTTGTGATTGGTTGGATGGTAAACCAATCAACGATAGTACATTAGCAGCCAAGGACTATATATATATACATATATTATAATCCATAAAAGCAGGGTAACACTATAGCATTAGGAATACATGTTTATTTTCTTAATGCTACAGTGGTTCTTTAACTATGTCTTCATTGTCTGTGAATTGTACTTGTGTCATGTTTTAATATAAGAAATGTTCTTTTTAATCGTAGGGTGATGGACTCATTTAATTTCTGCCTGACATATCTGAAAATCCTACTGCAAATCTATCTTCATTCATGGAAAAGGTCTCTGCAGTGCATAGGAGAGAGTATGTTAATACCCTCTTAACGACCTTGGAGAGGAAGGTCAAAAATGAAGAATGTGTCTTTCAACGTTCTGAGCAGACCTTCTATAAAGCATCAAAATACAATGATATTTTCCCCTGTTTATCTGGAGTTGGTAAAATTGAATTGTATTACTGATTTACTGCTAAGTAAAACCACACTGACCACATAACTTGTACAATATAGAAAATTTTATATATTTGCAATGCTGTTTTTAGTGTGGGCAAGTATATTTATTTATGTTTATAAGCAATGGGAAAATCTTAGAATCTTATTTAAAGACATTTACCTAGATAGAATTGAGACCCAGCTTGTTAAGCAATGAAGAATAATGATCAAGCAAAATTTGGGATTAATGATCGGTGTTCAAAAGTTTATTAGTCTACATTTTCACTAATAAATGATCAATAGTATTTTTAAAATGGCATTGTATTGTGATGATTTGACTCCATTTCTTCCTCTTAAAAAAATTATTTTAGCTGCATGTTACACAGATGTGATTACCAAATACATCGCGCACAGAACTGTAATAATACTGTGCATCATCATATCAAACCACAGGTCAGTTTTGTCAAGTGATGTTCGTTCTTCATAAATTGGCAAAACGTTCCAACCTGTCATTTAAAAACTTCTGGACAAGAGATAGTGACTTGTTTTCATTGTTGATTCAAAGGTCAATGTTGCAATCCACGAAATAAAGTTTATCACATGTATTTTTTTAATGAAAACAGGACATGAAAGAAAAAAAAATGCTCACTGTTGGTTTACTTTGCTTCTTTCTGATTAAATAGGCTATAGTAATTGCATCTATATAATGAAATCACATTCTTTTTTATATTTGTTTGGTTTTCTTTGAGTAGTACTTACATGCATTGTTAGAATTTAGGTGTACAGTCACAAAAGCAATTGCTACTTTATTAAACCTTTAATAATCAATAAATATTTGTTTTAATATACCTGGTGTTTCCAATAAATACACGTATTAATAGGGTATGCATCACCAGAGTACAGTCATAATCCATACACACATTTTATTCAATTATTTTCCTTTATGATTAATGAAACCCTGCCAAATCGTTGTGTAGTTGGATCTTTTATGCAAAATTCTGATAATGAATAGGAGATGATAATGAATAGGTGTTAACCAAGAATGATTTGTATCCAAATTTTATACCTGATTATTTATATCAACTGGTTAGAGCAATGTTTGGAAGTGGGAAACACAGGTTTGAAGCCTGGTCAGAAAACCTCACCAGGAAATATCCCTGGACAAGATATTGCCTTCCTCATATCCCTATTCTATAATTATAAAGTGATGCAGAATATGTTGGCACTATATCAGTTTTGATAGTTGGATTATATTGATATATTATCGGTATGTGTTTAACACAAAAACGCTGTTGATAACTGTTTGAGTAACATTTTTGGGTAAGTGTATAATAAGCTAACATACCTACACACTCTGCTGAGGAATCATTGCAGAAAAAAAGTTGCTCCCAAAATTCTCTGAACATATCCAGGATAATGTCTGATATTTCGGCAATCTGCTGGACATAATGAGTTTCACTTACACAGTCACTCTGGGTTATTCACACTGAGAGAGTAGCCAACTGGAAACATAGCCGACATAATTTTTCCAGTTCAGCTGTTTTGACCTTAAAATTGAAATTCACTTTAAATTCTTAATTTAGTAAATAATCTTGTCTAAATTTTAGTGCCTTTGTTAGTAAGGGTCAATGCAACCATGTAAATATTTTTCCCAATAAATTCCAATAGTATATCACAATAAAGAAATACACTTAAAAAGATACTGTATTGTTAAAAGATGTAAAAATGTTTTTCCTACAGCCAAGAACAAAAGATGAGCAAGTGATGATCTAGCCATTAACCCCTTAAGGACACATGACATGTGCGACATGTCAGGATTCCATTTTATTCCAGAAGTTTGGTCCTTAAGGGGTTAAGCAACATGCTAAACCAGGGGACTTTATGCACCAGTTGATACGTAGGTAATAAGTCTCCTTTACAGCTAGATATTACATTACTTAAATGCAGCGTTGATAATCTAAATACATGCATTATCTACCACTATTATTACAGTGATGTGTAAAACAATCTGTTTTGTAGATAAAGAGACTGCTTTAGGTTAGAGTTATGGAGTTCAACTATATGTCAAAAAAAAACTATAGAATAATGGTGATTGTTCATCCCTCTCCCCATACCAATCATAAAGATTGATTTACCAATCATTAAAGACACAGCTCAGGAACAAGTGTCAATTAACAGGTACCAACTGATAGTACTATCTGGTGTGAAGTACCATCAATATAAAAAATTACAATGTGGTTCTTGTCACCCTACTCCCAAAGTGTGTGTGACGTTGTTGTGGTGATGAAAGGGTTAAAGTTCACTTTTTATTTGAACTAGACCGGAAATAATGACAAAATCCCCCTTTAACACCACCCACACTTAAACATAATATTATAACTATTACTATTTTAACGCTGCCACCACCAAGACAACTTATAAATGGGGTGCCTTGGTCCCCCAGGTAAATCATTCATAAAAACCAACCCAGTATTACTTAGCACAATATCTTTGTAATTGCAAAATACCAATTGGTCTCTTATTATTATTATTATTATTATTATTATTATTATTATGATATTTATATAGTGCCATCACATTCCACAGCACTTTACAATGGGTGGACGAACAGACATGTAGTTGTAACCAGACAAGTTGGACACACAGGAACAGAGGGGTTGAGGGCCCTGCTCAATGAGTTTAAATGCTAGAGGGAGTGGGGTAAAATGACACAAAAAGGTAAGGATAGTATTAGACTAATGACAGTTGCAGAAGAGGAATCTTCAGGTAACGTGATTCTTAACCAGACAAAGGCAGAACTTAATAAATGAATGTTTATTATGAGCAGAAAGTAGCCAGAGTGCATATACAAATATACAGGGAGTGCAGAATTATTAGGCAAGTTGATATCAAAGCTGAATATTTTTGGAAGTAGTTTTTAGTTTGTTTTTAGTTTTAGCTATGTTAGGGGGATATCTGTGTGTGCAGGTGACTATTACTGTGCATAATTATTAGGCAACTTAACAAAAAACAAATATATACCCATTTCAATTATTTATTATTACCAGTGAAACCAATATAACATCTCAACATTCACAAATATACATTTCTGACATTCAAAAACAAAACAAAAACAAATCAGTGACCAATATAGCCACCTTTCTTTGCAAGGACACTCAAAAGCCTGCCATCCATGGATTCTGTCAGTGTTTTGATCTGTTCACCATCAACATTGCGTGCAGCAGCAACCACAGCCTCCCAGACACTGTTCAGAGAGGTGTACTGTTTTCCCTCCTTGTAAATCTCACATTTGATGATGGACCACAGGTTCTCAATGGGGTTCAGATCAGGTGAACAAGGAGGCCATGTCATTAGATTTCCTTCTTTTATACCCTTTCTTGCCAGCCACGCTGTGGAGTACTTGGACGCATGTGATGGAGCATTGTCCTGCATGAAAATCATGTTTTTCTTGAAGGATGCAGACTTCTTCCTGTACCACTGCTTGAAGAAGGTGTCTTCCAGGAACTGGCAGTAGGACTGGGAGTTGAGCTTGACTCCATCCTCAACCCGAAAAGGCCCCACAAGCTCATCTTTGATGATACCAGCCCAAACCAGTACTCCACCTCCACCTTGCTGGCGTCTGAGTCGGACTGGAGCTCTCTGCCCTTTACCAATCCAGCCACAGGCCCATCCATCTGGCCCATCAAGACTCACTCTCATTTCATCAGTCCATAAAACCTTAGAAAAATCAGTCTTGAGATATTTCTTGGCCCAGTCTTGACGTTTCAGCTTGTGTGTCTTGTTCAGTGGTGGTCGTCTTTCAGCCTTTCTTACCTTGGCCATGTCTCTGAGTATTGCACACCTTGTGCTTTTGGGCACTCCAGTGATGTTGCAGCTCTGAAATATGGCCAAACTGGTGGCAAGTGGCATCGTGGCAGCTGCACGCTTGACTTTTCTCAGTTCATGGGCAGTTATTTTGCGCCTTGGTTTTTCCACACGCTTCTTGCGACCCTGTTGACTATTTTGAATGAAACGCTTGATTGTTCGATGATCACGCTTCAGAAGCTTTGCAATTTTAAGAGTGCTGCATCCCTCTGCAAGATATCTCACTATTTTTGACTTTTCTGAGCCTGTCAAGTCCTTCTTTTGACCCATTTTGCCAAAGGAAAGGAAGTTGCCTAATAATTATGCACACCTGATATAGGGTGTTGATGTCATTAGACCACACCCCTTCTCATTACAGAGATGCACATCACCTAATATGCTTAATTGGTAGTAGGCTTTCGAGCCTATACAGCTTGGAGTAAGACAACATGCATAAAGAGGAGGATGTGGTCAAAATACTCATTTGCCTAATAATTCTGCACTCCCTGTATGATAAACAAATTATTTTCACCAACAACATATAAAAACAAAAAGGATAAAATACAGAAGTCCTAATTACTCACTTAGGTTTTCAAAGTACAACTTCTGCCCAGGGGGTCTCTGGCAAGGAAGGATGATGGTGACTCACTCAAAATTAAATCTTGGCCCCAAGCAAGTACACCAATACCCCTCCAAATCATTGGATATATCAGCTGTGGATTATCATGTCTTCCCCAGGGGTGGAGTTAAGGCGTTCTTTGTTCCAGACCAACGTCAATCCAAATGGAAACATTTGGCTCTATCTTCTCTTATGTACCTGCCACTGAAATAATAATTACATCTATGAATTTATTATTTTCCCATCCCATAGACACATCGAACGCTCCACCCGCGATCCAATAGGACGGACATTACAATTCCTGCCACACGGTTTAAGTTGTGCAACTCATGTT